ATTATTATTATTTTTTTTTTTTAAATAAAATTGTGGAGAAGACAATACTGAAGAAATGTTTAACTATGGTGCAGACATAATTGCATAGAACACTCAAAGATTTTTTTGATATCATATGAAGGCTAATAAAGAATGCATTGGCTTACAGAAAGTTCCAGAAGGACCAAAGACAAAAAATATAATGAATGCGTTTCGCACACTTGGCCAGACTTTGGTTGACTGCAGTTAAGCTGGGCACACAGACAGAGACATACTGACACATAAAACTGTCTCAGTTCGCCTGCCCATGGTGGAGAGGCTGAAGGGGTCCATGAATACTTCATGTGACGGCCTTGGAGTAACAGGACCAGGGTGCGGGTGGGCGGGCTGGGAGGCCACAGTGTATACATGCAGAGGAGGTGCTGTGCTAACAGGCCAGCAAGCTAAACGGGCTTAACAGGCCAGTGTCAGGGCTGGAACATTTTAGCATGTATGAGAAGCTTCTCGATCTGTTAACTCACACGTGACTTGCTGTTGGGAGAAATTTAGTAGGAAAGCTTTCGATTGATTCAGTCCATAACTAGATTAATAATTATCATAGGGGTCCCTGGACAGAGGGAAATGGAGAGAGACCACCCTCCACACCTTAGAGAGTGTGAGCAGTAGCTGAAGGCTGCAGTGACCACGAGGAAGGAGGTCTCATTCAGACCACTCCTCATCATCGAACTCAGAGGAGTCATCCTCGGAGTCGCTGCACTCCACCGCGATGCGGCGCGACAGAATGGCTGCCACGTCGTTGCCCACGTGGTCCCGCTTCTCCTGCTCGCGCTGTTCCTCCACCTTTCGTAGGTTGAATCCTGGAGGCAAAGGTCATAGGTCAAGGTCAGGAGGTGACAGGCAGGTGAGCAGGGCGACAGGGGAGGAGGAACGGGCGGGGCAACATGGACACACTACCTTGCCGAATGGCTTGCAGCAAGTCGCTGCGTGCACCTCCTGCAGCCACCTGCTGAGTTTTGGGGGCGCTGGGAGACGCAGTGTTGGCAGAGGAGAGGGGGGGAGCCGGGGGTCCTGGAGGAGGAGGGGGGCCTGGAGGAGGCGGCGGAGGTGGGGGGGGGGGAGGCCCTGTGGGTGGCAGGGAAGGTGGAGGCGGAATAGCTGCTTGATCCTCGGAAGGAGCCAGAGACGGTGCAGGTGGAGACGGGAAGTTGGGGAGGGAGGTGGGTGGGGAAAGGGGGCTGCCAAAATCGGGGGGAGGGGGAGGGGCCATCTCAAAAGGTGGAGGGGGTGGAGGGACAGGCGGAGGAGCCAGGCTCTGGTGAGGACTCATGGGTGGAGGTGGCGGAGCGTGTGCAGGGCTCATCATGTGTGTGTGAGAGGGGTCCCTTTCAGCCTCGCTACTCCTGCAAAGGAGAGGCAGCAGATATGCTGGGTTAGAGGATAACAGGACAATGGGGCAGGGCCTCCACTGCGTTTACACCACATCAACACTAGGGGGCACTCTAGTGCTCTGATCAAACATTTCTGAAGGGAGGGGCTGCTCATGGCAGACTTCGGCAGTCACACAAAGCCCATTTATTTCCCTCTATTCTCACAATCTATCAAATGGGCCATTAAGGCTCAGAAAAACCCCGGAGGACGTCACGCGCCACGCTCCCTTTCCGCCGTGCGCTGCTGCTGTTACGCAGGTTGCTGAATCGTGCGCCGCTTCGTGACGCTCATCTCAATGTCGAGCTTTAACAGCCAGCAAGACACTGGAACATCTGCTCAGGCAGGATCTCATGCTCATGTTGACTCACTCTCCTGCTGGTGCCGAAGGCTGGGGAGGGCGGAGCTTACGTCATGTCTGGAGGCGGCGGGGGCAGGAACTCATCAGGCGGCGGTGGCTGCAGGGGGGAATCCATGTCGTAGGAGCTCTGGTCCAGGTAGCCGTCTGAGCCGTAGGTGCCCAGCCCTTCCCCCGAACAGATGCTCCCGTTCAGCATCTCGTTGGAGTTCCTACGGCACAGCGAGGAAGAGCCAATCATGCAGAGGGTGGGGGCACACTCGCACATGCACAACGGAAGAACAGGGGGGATAGGGCAACACACAGACACAAACACAGACCCCCCCCGCCCCCCACAACGCTCTGATGCATTACTGCAGGTCACCACATGGGGGCGCCAGAGGAAACATACAGAGTCAACATTCCCCGATCTCAAGGCACTAAACAAAGCTACACACTATGTCACTATCTCACAGACAGACAGATACACACATCCCATCCTGGACTTACATTTCCATGTCGCCATCGTTCTTGGGCACCACAAACTCCTTGCCCATTTTCAGCCTCTCCCACTCATCCTTGCGGGTCTTGACCTTCCGTGGGTTCAGGTTGCCACGATTCGGGTTATCCCGCTTCTCTTTCTGCTCGCGGGCAGGGAGAGGGAAGCATGAGTGCCGCACGGAGAGTTCCTGTGACTGCTCGCTGCCCTACATGCTGACACTGGAAGGAACTACACTGGCATCCAAACGGACGCTCTGACCATGTGTAATCTGAGCTGCTTTAGTGCCTGCAATTGATTCAAATGAGCAGTGTGGCATTAAGCATTATCTGAGTAGATACAATCAGCAGCGGGGTGACTGCAAAGGCCTGTAATGTGCTTTCATGCCTACTCAAGAATGCAATAGATGAAAAGGTACTGCAGTGTGATGCTTTAAAATGCAGAATAATGCAACACGATGCAAGTACTATAATGAGCAGCGATAGAGATGCAACCGAACACGACGCAGCTGGCTGACCCTATGCTTTCGCTTCTCCTTCATGATGTCCTTGGTGTCCTGCAGCATCTTCTCTTTCCAGAGGTCAAAGAAGTAGGAGGGATCAGTGTAGAACTTGAGGGCCTCCTTGCCGTCATCCCTGAGACAGGCGGGTGGAGAAGCAGTGTTAGAACTCGCGGCTAAATGAGAGCGCTAATGTCGCGCGGGGTTGCACTAGCGGGTGGCCACGAGAGACACACGGCCAGCAGGGCATACCCACCTGTACATGGAGAGCTTGCCAAGGGGGGGCGGCTGGTCACAGCTGATGTAGGTCTCCTGAACCGGAACAGGAAGGGAGGGCCGAATGAAGAGCTGCTGATCCTGGGTCAGGTTACTGCGGAAGGCCTTGCGGGTGGTGATGGCCTGCAGGGAAACTACACATGGAGAGGGGGGGTGAGGAATGCGAAGGTTAAGAACAGGAATGCCGGACAGGAACAGAAAGCAGCCTGCACCACGTCTGGAGAACGACAAACATTGGAAAGAAAACGTGATCCATGAAACCTTTTACACCCCATTCTCAGGGCCTTGGTGCAGACTGCCGGGAACCACAGCGGGACGGCTCTCACCTTCCTCCTCTTTGGGGTCCAGCTGTGTCACCTTGACCTGCAGCCGATCAACACGCTCTCCCAGGCTGTTAACGCGCAGGGCGAAGTGGCTGGCCTGGACGAAGAGCTCCCCGAAGACGTCCTCGGCATATCTACCTGGGAAAGGCAAGGGCCCAGCAGGCCACGTCAGTCTCCCCCTGCTGCTACCTCTGAGCTGTGACCCCCACCTCCAACAGCCCCAATACGGCTGGGTTCCACTCACTCAAGCTGCCCAGCTGCCGGATGATGTTGGCCAGTGTGATGTTGGTCACGCATTCCAGTTCACTCTTGACGTTGTTGGGTAGGGTTTGGCGGCACAGGTGCCGAGGCTCTATGTTACGCGTCACCAGCGGCATGGCGATGGGTCCACGTGATGGGGAGAGGGAGGGTCAGCTCACTCCTGATGGGGGGGAGTGAAAATCAGAATCAGTGACAGAGTTTAGGAAATGAAGGATGTCAAGAGGAAGAAGTCAGAA